AAGACCATCCCCTATTAGAAGACCACTGCCGATTATATGACTTGAAAGCCAAATAGAACACCAGGTGGTCTTCTGTTATGGGGGGAGTTTAGTGGGTTATCGGTTATCGACCATGCTGATTCCGAATATGATTATGGGAGCTGCTCTTAACCGTACGAAGATCCGGTTTTCTCGAAAACCAGTCTTGCCAAAACTTTAAAGAGTAACCAAAACTTTTCTTAATGCAGCATTATTGTAGCTAGCAAATTTCTGATTAAAATGAGACCTCTCCCAGCGCTACACGACCTTTCTTTGCAAAGTTATAGAATTTACAAGAAAAGTCCTAAATGTTCATTGTCAGCTCAAAGCTATAATTTAGGACTTTTCGTGTAAATTCTATAACTTTGCAAAGAAAGGTCGTGTAGAGCTGGGAGATATCTCATATCAATCGGAAATTTGCGGTCTACAATCATGTTTCATTAAGAAAGGTTTTGGTTATCTTTTAGAGTTTCTGAGAACCTGGTTTTCCGGCAAAACGGATCTTCGTACGGTTAAGGGCAGCTCCCATAATCATATTTGGAATCATGGTCGATAACCTATAACCCACCAGATTTCGATCAAAAAGCGTTTTATCACCTCGAGAGGTTCCCTCGTAAGTTACTTTCATCGTACGGTGAGCTGGCAGGTACTAGCATGAGAGGGAGCTGCCAGATAATATTTCATCACGATTCCTTAGTGGTCACGACGTTTGATATCGAAATCCTCCCCTAGGCTGCAATTCTAACACATACAGTTAGTGAAAGGTGTTTTTTACGATGGAGAACAAAAACTTGTAACTTTCTTAGCTCCTGAAGGAACAAATATAGAAAATTTTCAATTAATCATTTGATAGCCCTAATTTTTCAGCTTTATTTCTTGTTAATAGCAAATTTTCATCTCAAGCGTTTCTGTCAAAACATAGAAGCTTTTTAACTCTAATTTGTTTTTTTCGCTGAATAAGTGTTCGTGCGATCACTTTTTCACTTCTATTTGGATATTTATCAAATAGATAAAACTTTTGCTTATATACCATTGAAAGAGCTAAATCTTGACCAAACAATGAAAAACAGAAAATATCAAAAATAATTAATTACAGCTGATGGATCAAAATCGTATTTTTAATTAATTAGTCAACCTTTACACAGCGCATCTAAAACTCATGAAAAAGTATCTTTAAATATATCATTGAATAGTGTTTGGTACCTGTTGTGGTTTAATTAAATGTGAGTGTTTAAATCGATTTACTTTTCCCAGAAATTTGCATCCAGAAATTAATTTCTTTCACGTGAAAAATAAGTTTATCTGTTCTACTTTCGATCCGAGTCACAAATGGAACGAAGAAACAACTCACTTTCGCGCTGAATAAAAATGAAAAAACTCACCGTGCGCTGTTCTTTTACGGTTCAAGAAGCCATCTGTTTAGAAGCCTTTTTCTCTAAAAAATGAACTCAAAACGAACATAAAAAAATGCACTTTTATACATTATTGACTATCCTCTACAACATAGTAGTGTTACTTTTACCCGCATTTGCACTTCAACTTTGACATGAAAATTTACTATTACGTGGACTGACCATATTAGTTATGCAAAGCTGAGTAGAATGATGTGCACCTGATCAGTTATCGATATATCTTTTCGATAAATATCCAAATAGAAGTGAAAAAGTGATCGCACGAACATTCAGCGAATACATTGTAACGCATTACGTGAAAAAAACTGCCCAGAAATTGAAATTATAGTGTTATACTGCATTTTTACCAACGACTTTCTCATATTTTAAGTATTGACTTTGGCCAGATGATCTTTAAAAAAAGTACTAGAGACTTCATTGTTGCATCAAACGAACAAACTTGGTAGGCGCTTTCATTTGAATATAAATAAAGTTATGTTTTGTTAGATTTTGAGCTCGTCCAACACACTATAAAACGAGTGATATTTATGCTAATGCAGATAAGATCCTCCAGTCAAAAATTCTTTGCCAATGTCAGACGAGAAAATCTCGGTTGCGGATAGAAATATTCAAATTTGTATGCTCTTTCCAGCGAGTAGTATGAGAACGCTCGATAGTATTAGATAAGGTCAAATTTCGCTGCTCTGATGCCCTTAAAAACGCTTCAATTCAGAACTTATGGGTGAGGAAAAACTGTGTTCCGAATAATTTTTCCACATGGCAAATGGGACGACAAGAGTCTTTACACGCCTTCAGTAGGACTATCGATTGCATATATTCAAACCTTTCCAGCTTTTAACTCATGTAATACTGGACGGACCTGTGCGGAAGTACCCAAATGTGTCCCTTATGAGAAAATCATGTATTTTTGTTTTGGATATTGTCTAAGTCGTTGTAACGCATTAATACCTATCGGGTTACACCGAGCTCCGTTTTCTTATCTCATTGCAATGAGATAGAAATGAATAATGCATTATAATCTATTAGATACTAACTAGTTAGAATACGATATGCATTATCAAATCTGTTAAAACGCTTTAAAAGATTTTTCCAAATTTATGGCGTTATAATTAGATAAAACATCTAAGGTATTATAACGCATTAATTTCCAACGTATTATATTGAAGTAGAAAACTCAAATGCGTTATCATAAATTAGAACCTAACGTATCATAAGATGGTAGACAATCTAATTGAGTTGTAACGAGATAAAATATTGGAAGGCATTGTAATGCTATAAATTTGTAGAGTTACAATGCCGTACATTCCTGAAGAATAACTTTACAACACGTTTTACACGACGGGCTACGCTGTATAGAGTCTATTGATATAGAGTCAGGGCGTTTAAAACCAATAGAGGGGATTTGGGTGTTAATAGGGGGCTCGTTAGCGGTTGATTTACATAAATTTATGGAAAATTAGTTTTTT